GTCACCTGACCTTACTCATGGATCCAGGCCAGCAGGATGACATTGTATGTAAATATCCCCCGCGTCGACCGAAATCGACGAAAATTTCAGGCTTTTTCACTTTCGACAATAAAACAAAAAGCCTTAATTATAAAAAAAATTAACGGCACAGCATTGCGCAAGGAATCTAACCGACCCCAGAAAGTGTGAGGGTTAACCCTCGCCCGCACCTGGGGGAGGGTTGCCATGCCCCCAAGTTAGTTTTTTTCTGCTCTACACTGAACATTTTTAAAGCTAGAAATCTGACTTTTGGATAGCTGCTTTTCTATCTTTTCTCAGCGTCCATTGAAAATTTCAAGTTTCTGTGGCTTTTGGGTTTGGAGATATGATCTTGTTCTTCAGGTCATGTCATGACCTAAATGACGGATACCCAATATCTTGCGTTGGCTATGGGCCTTGTGAGCTTTTGACACCTTGATTTCGGCCTTTTTTGCCAATCTTACCTCCCACCTATCATGGAACATGTTGTTCTGCCGTCTGCGATGTACAGATGTCAGGGTCAGGGTACATCAGTACATACACAGACATACACAGACATACAAACACATATCATTGACCTTGACCTAACTTGACGTGAAATGACCACAGCCAGCAAATTAGTCGGATAGTGTGACAAAGAGCTGTTCTAGCTGGCTTGGCACCAATACGGCAGCGTCATCGGTATATGATGGTTGGCCCGCTGCTTGTGTAGGTATTTTATTCGACATCACCACAATTTATTCAAACAAAATTTTAAGCTTCGCAGTCAAGAGCAACATATTCTTTGGGAAGAGACGAATCCAATGATACCAAATTTTACCTCATCAGGCAGTCATTGACCTTCCAGGTCAGGTCAAACTAAAGAACGTAGCTGTTTGGGGTCACCGTTGCCCGTTGGAACATCACGTGCGCTGCTCATCATATACCAATGACGCTGCCGTATTGTGGTGCCAAGCCAGCTAGAACCTCTTTGTCACACTATCCGACTAGGTTTTTGCTGGCTGTGGTCATTTCAGGTCAAGTAAGGTCAAGGTCAATGATATGTGTTTGTATGTCTGTGTGTCTGTGTGTACACAGATGTGTGCACCGATTATGAATGTGTCCCTATAGCATGAGATCATGAACTGAGAAGCTTTTACCAAATATACAGTCAAAGAAACTTCACGAAAGTAAATTCAGCTCGCCTAAAACGCAAAATTTTTAGATGACCTAGGCTGACCTTGACCCTGACCCTAGCGTCTCTACATCATCGAACAACATATTCCATGATACGTGGGAGGTAAGACTGGCAAAAAAGGCCGAAATCAAGGTGTCAAAAGCTCATAAGGTGTCAAAAGCCAACGCAAGATATTGGGTATATGTCACTTAGGTTATGACATCATCTGAAGAATAAGGTCATATCTCCGAAACCAAAACCACAGAAACTTGGAATTTTCAATGGACGCTAAGAAAGGATAGAGAAGCAGCTATAGCTATACGAAACATCCGGCTTCTAGCAATCAAAATGTTGAGTGCAGAGCAGAAAAAAACCCTGGGGGGAGGGGGGGGGGGTGGCAACCACTGCCCCCCATGTGCGGGCGAGGATTAGATAATTTGAATATCAGGAAAACAATTTATTCAAACAGGTATTCCAACAGAGTCCCGCTTTTTTATAGGTGACCTCCGATTTGTGTACTTAGCCTCTAAGTTGCCCATGGGGCCTCTTATTTGTAGGTACATACAGTACAGAGAGCCTCCTACTTCGACTACTTGCACAGAGAGCCTCCTTTTTGTACATACAGCTAAGCTTCTACAGGTCGAGCGCCGGCCTCCTATTTGTACGTACAGAGAGCCTCCTACTGTTACAGAGGGCCTCCTATTTGTCTAGGGGGCCTCCTATAGGTTAATGGCGCCTCCTATTTGTCCAAGTGGCCTCCTATTCGTCTAGGGGGCCTCATATTTGTTCAGGAGGCCTCCTGTTTGTCCAGAAGGTCCCCTATTTATCCAGGGGACTTCTATTTTCCAGGGGGCCTCCTCTTTATCCAGGGGGCCTCCTACGTGTTCAGGGGCCTCCTATTTGTCCAGGGGCCTCCTATTTATCCAGGGGTCTTCTATTCGACCAGGGGTCTCATAATTGTGCAGGGGCCTCTTATTTGTCCAGGGGTCTCCTACTTGGGCCTCCTTTTTTGAAGGGCCTCCTTTTTGTTAAGGAAGCCTTCTAATTGTTCAGGGGCCTCCTATTCGTACAGAGGGCCTCTAGCTCCTACTTGTCCATGGGGGCTCCTATTTGTTCAAGAGGCCCCCTATTTGTACAGGGGGCCTCCTATTTGTCCAGGGGGCCTCCTATTTGTCCAAGCGGCTGTTATTTTCCTAGGGGGCCTCCTATTTGCCCAAGAGCCCTCCTATTTGTCCAGCGGGCCTCCTACTTGTTCAGGGGGCCTCCTATTTGTCCAGGGGGCCTCCTATTGGTTAAAGTAGCCTCCTATTTATCCAGAGGGCTCCTATTTTTAGGGGGCCTCCTCTTTATCCAGGGGGCCTCCTTCTTGTTCAGAGGGCCTCCTATTTCTCCAGGGGCCTTCTATTCGTCCAGGGGGCCTCCTATTTGTCCAGGGGGCCTCCTAATTGTCCAGGGGGCCTCCTTTTGTGAAAGGGGCCTCCTATTTGTCCAGGGGGCTCCTAATTGGCCAGGGGGCCTCCTTTTGTGAAAGGGGCCTCCTGTTTGTCTAGGTCTAGGGCCTCCTATTTGTCCAGGCCCAGGGGGTCTCCTATTCGTACAGAGGGGGCCTCCTATGTCCAATACTTGTCCATGGGGCCTCCTACTTGTTTAGGGGGCCTCCTACTTGCTCAGGGGGCCTCCTACTTGTCCAGGGAGCCTCACATTTGTCCAACAGGGCCTCCGATTTGTCCAAGGGCCTCCTATTTATACAGAGAACCTTCTATATGAACATCGGACCTCCGTTTGTAAAGTAGCTGGTGCGTCTCGGGGGGCCTCCACTATTGGGGTCCCAAAATGACTATTGGGGTCCCAAATGTTCGCACTGGGGTCCCACATGGGACCTCGAAAGTATACAAAGTTACACCCACGAAAATGGGGTGTTAAGGAACAGTGTGGTGCTAAGGGGCAGTTGTGTGGGAAAAACTTTGAGTCATAGGTATGTAGTTCCTAATTTGAGGTTAAATATAAACTTGAGTGTGGTAGTTGACACTGTTGTTCTAGACTATAGGACAAAATGGCATGGTTTTTCATGTAAGTGATTTGGTTCAAAAACGGTTTTGAAAATCATGCTACATTTTCACAAAATTGAAACATCTCCAAAACTCTGTGTGTATGACGCAAACTAGTAGGTGTAGAGGGAAAATGAATGCATAGGTGACTTAGGTGTATTGCCACATGTATTGCACATGTTTCCTGAAAAAAACTTATACAAATCATGTATTCTGATTCATTCATTATCCTCTCCCACTTTTCCGGACACATGCATATTTTGAGGTGGATGTGGGGTGCTAAGGGACAGGGAAGAAAAAATAAAAAATAATACCTAAATATATATTCATAAAGTTTTCTTTCAGTTGGCATGGAAAACAAAATTCCACATAAAATGCTGGCAAGTTCATGCTTTTATCTATAACACATCAATAAATAAAACAAAACACCTCAAAACTCCCTTAACACTCTTTTACAATGATGGGTCAATGAAGACTGATGTACGGGGTGTAACAAAATTATCTGGACATCTTTCTTCACGCTGTAATGAAGAAGCAAGACATTCTGATATTTTCCCTTTTGAATTATTATATAGCCAGAGTCACCTTTCATAAGAGTGCAGGAACACATTTTTGGAGCATTCCAGCCACTGGATTTTCCAGCACAGTGGGTTTCATATAGAGTAGCGCCATACTAACCTGTGCCCACAGTTGGGCGGCGCTGGTGGCGGGTGTCCCCTCATTCATCTCCTGATGGACTATAGGTAGTCCCCAAGATATCGGTGGAATTGTTTGGGAGCTATTTCCAAGCCAATAGCCCTTTAGCCCAGAAGAAAAACAGGTCCTCTCGGCATCACTTCTCATTCTGCTAGGGACTTGAAGGTGGTGCGCCGCCCCGCATGAAGACCGCGCGGCTTGAATCAGGCATCGGTGCACGTTCAGAAACCGAGCCCTTCTGTGCCGTCTTGTTGAGTGGCTGCAACCAATCGCTAGCCGCCAGGATGTTCCGCCGGTAATACTCGTCACTGATAGTTGTTTTCTGTGTCGTCATGAACAGTTTTGTTGTGTCTCCTCAAGTGTGACGCACGGGACACTCGGGAAGACTCCCACACTGAGTGTATTTGCGGTATTTACACGAGCGGAAAACAAAGCAACGAAACTCATGACCCGTCAGCCTCCTCCGTTGTTGTTGTTGTTGTTGTTGTTAGAGGTGGCAAAATGTGGACCCGAGGACCCGGTTCAAAGAACCAGTCTGGACCCATCTGGGTCCAGACCGGTTCCTGGAAATTTTCTGACGGGTCCAACCGGGTCCTACCATAAACTATACATCTTGCACACTACACATTATTGCAAAATATGAAGTGAATGAAGTGAATGTTTCTTTGCACACAGTAGCTCATGAGTATTTCCAGTGGGAAATAGGCTGTTTTACATGATGCAACTAATGATACCTACAAGTAGTTTGTATTAATTGACTTTTGGGAAACGGGTCCAACTGGTTCCGATTCCAACTAAGACCGGGTCCGACTGGTTCCAGAAATGTCCAGCCGGGTCTGGTTCGAGTCTGGTTCCCAAAATTTTCATCTTTTGCCACCTCTAGTTGTTGTTGTCGTTCCGGCCGTCGGGCCCGGTGGGCCCACATGGGGGGCCCGTGAGGGCCCCAGCCCCCCTCGGGGGCGACACTTGCGACGTCCGCGCAGGGAGGGCAGCAGGCCCCCGGGCGGGTTCCGGCGGACTCAGACGCCGGGTAGGGCCGGAGAACCCAGCACCCCGCCAGAGTGTCCAGCGCCGTGGGCGCTCTATAGTCGGCCCAGGCGCCGCAGGAACTCGATAACCCGGCATGGGTCAGCGAAGACCTCCCGCAGCGTCGGGTCCTCTCTCCCGAAAACGTCGTGACGGCCGCGGGCCGTCGCGGGGCACGACGTCAGGAAGTGTTCCGCGTCCTCCCTGACTCCGCCGTCGCAGGTCGGGCACCCATCCTCCTCCTCCGCCCCGATGAGGTGACGGTAAGCTTGCAGGGCAGGAGAGTGGCCGGTCCGGAGGCGCGCCAGAGCGGTGCCCTCTCTCCTAGACAGGCCGAGCCTGTCTGCCAGCCTGACCCTGCCCGGGCCGACGACATCGTGGTAGTCGTGGCTTAGGTGCGGGCGGGTCGCGGGCGCCGGTCGGGAGTGGCGCGTGCTCTCCACCCACTCTCTGCTCACGTGGCGCTTCAGCAGGCTCTTGGCCGCCGCGAAGGTGATGGGTGTCCCGTCCTGCGGCAGCTCAGCGGACTCCCTGGCCACGGCATCGGCGATCTCGTTGCCGGCGACTCCCGCGTGACCGGGAACCCACTGAAGGTCCACGCGGTGGCGTCGTCCTAGTCGCCGGAGGGATAGCCAGACTTGGTCAGCGACCCGTTCAGTCTGGTTGGCCGGGCCTTCCCTCAGACGCATGAGGGATGATAGGGAGTCGGTGCACAGCTGGATATTGAGTACAGGGTCTTGATCGGTGAGGATGGACTCGATGTATTTGAGTGTCTCTCGTAGAGCGAGAAGCTCCGCTGTGTAGCTCGAAGTGAAGCGCCCCGCTGGCGCTCGGATCCTCTTCACTTCCCTGCCGCTCCTATAGACGACTGCCCCTGCTCCGCCTCGTCCTGTGCCGGCTGTGGCCGAGCCGTCCGTGAAAGCCTGGACGTCCGGGTTCGGCAGTCCGGCTAGCGTCTCCTCGGCGGCAGTCCGTCGCTGTTCGGCGGGGGCGTTTTGCGGTAGCGGCCTCTCAAGTCCAGTGTGGAAGAGGACCGTTGGAGGCGGCGGTGACTCCCAGGGAGGGGTGCTGGCAACCACCAGGAACGGCTCGCGTGGGAGGTCGTCTAGGCCGGCGTCTTTGGATATCTCTTGGCCCGTCCGTGCCCATCCTCTGTCATAGCGCAGACGTTGCCGGGGGCGGTTCTCAGGGAGGAGGATCCGCTGCACAGGGTCGCCTGGTAGGTCCCGGGAGTGGCGCTCCATCGCCACAGCCGCCAACTGCCTCCGCCGCGCCGAGAAAGGCAGGAGATCCGCCTCTCTGGCCAGGGCGTCCACTGGTGTGGATCTGACACATCCGGTGATTGTCCTGCACGCCTGTCTTTGCACCGTTTCCAGCTCCCTCAGGCCAGACTCGCTGAGGCCGGGCATCCAAGCACCGGCGGCGTAGTCGGCGCAGGCGCGAGAGAAGGCGAGGTATGTGCTGCGCAGATCAGACGGTGAGCAGCCCCACGTCGTGCCGCTGATGGCCCGGAGGACGTTGTTCCTTTGGAGCATCTTGGCCTTGATCGTCTTCACATGTCCCGTGAAGGTGAGGCTTCTATCGAGGGTGATGCCCAGGAACGTCGTGGTGGGGGAGAACTTCACTGGTTGGCCCTGGAAATGGAGCGCCGCTTCTCGCCGTGCCTCAGCTGGGTCAAGCGTGAAGATAATGGAGGTAGTCTTCTCCAGGCTGACCACCATTTTCCAGCGTCGGGCCCACTCCTCCAGGCTGTCCAGGGCACGCTGCACCTTGGTCTCGGCGGCAGAGACGTCACGGTCGCTGCACCAGATGGCTAGGTCGTCGGCGTACAGCGACGCCGACACGCCCGGTGGGAAGTCGTCGGTGATGTCGTTGATGAATAGGTTGAACAGCGCCGGGGATGTCACCGCGCCTGGGGGGTGCCGTCGCGGAGAACCCGGAACTTGCTCCTTGTGTTGTTTATTCTCACGCATGCTTGACGGTCCCGGAGGAAGGCCCGGAACCATGCTACGTAGCAACGGGGGAGCCCGAGGCGGGACATCTTCCAGAGGAGGCCCGTGCGCCATGCCTTGTCATAGGCTGTGGAGAAGTCCACCGTCACCAGCAGGGTCCGCTTCCTTTCTTCAAGGCCATCCGCCGTCGCCTGTACCAGCCTCAGAATCTGATCCTCCGTCGACCTGTGTTTCCGGAAACCGGCCTGGTTGGGGTTCAGGAGTTGGCGGTGTTCCAGCAGATACATCAGGCGGCGGTTGATGAGGCGTTCCAGCAGCTTCGACGTCGAGCTCAGCAGACTGATGGGGCGGTAGGACTTGACCTGGTCGGGTGGTTTGCCTTTTTTCAGGATCGGGACGATTTCTGCCTTGGTCCAGATGGAGGGTAGCTCGCCCCTCATCCAGGAGAAGTTGAGGAGTTGAAGGAGCCTGGCACGACCTCTTGTCCCCAGACGGACCAGCATCTCGTTAGCGATGCGGTCCAGTCCGGCGGCCTTCCTCGCGGGGAGCCGGCTCAGTTCCTCCGTCATTTCCGCCTCGGAGAACGGGGAGCAGCATCCCCGTCTACTGTGGCCGCACTGGGTGCAGGGCGTGCGGAGGAAGTCCGTCAGTTCGTGGGTCGCTCGCCGGTCCTCCCGGACTCGTGGCGGTAGGTGGCTGACGGCGCTGTACACGCGCATGAAAGCGTCCGCCTTCTCGCTGTCCTTAGAGGTCCGGCGGTTCCCCCCCGGAGTGTGGCGTCATCCCTCCTCGTAGTGGCGGAGCGGCCGTCTATGGCTCGGATGGTGGACCACACCTGGCCCACATCGGAGCGGAGCGACAGCCCGGACGCAAACGTCCGCCAGGACTCCTGCCGCGCCTTGGTGATGGTGAGGCTCGCCTCCTTGGCCGCTTCTCTCCAGGCCGCGCCGGCCGCCGGGTCTGCCTTGGCCTGGGCTCGGAGCTCGTCCCGTCTCCTGACGGCCTCGTCCACCTCCTCGGTCCACCACGGCACAGGGTCACGCCTGGCGCCACAGGGGATAGCCCTGGCCGCCGCAGTGATGACTAGGTCATTGAACTGGTAGGTTGCAGCCTTTAAGGGTGTGTGTTCATCCCACTCTGGGGAGGCCGCCAGTTTCTCTTCAATGATCTTCTCGAACAGGGCCCAGTCCGCTTTCTTGAAGGACGGCTTGGTCTTTCGCTTCTCCTCTTTCTTCCGTTTACCCACCCGTACTTTGACCAGTATCGGGAAGTGGTCCGACGGTAGTGCTGTTAGGGTCTCCCACTCCACCCGGTTTGTGAGCGACGAGTGGTGCAGCGTGATGTCCGGCGTTGAGAGGGCGTACGGGGGGGCCGGGCTCTGTCGGGTAGGGGCTCCGGAGTTGGCGACCACAAAGTCCCGCTGGGAGATCCACTCCTGGACTTACTCCCCGATGGCGTCCTCCTCCACGAGTGGATCCCAGGCCGCACTGTGCCCGTTCACGTCCCCGAAGATCATGGCGTTGGTGTCGTGAGGCCACTGGTCAGGTGTGAAGTGTTGGGTCCGGGTGTCCGACATGGAGCTTGCACGGATCGGCGGCACATACACGTTCAGGGTCTTGAGCCTCCTCCGTCGGCCATCTTCTCTCGCCGGGGGTCCCGCCCATTAGTGCTGTTCCGGCGACCTTCGGGAGAAATGGGTAAGGAATGAGGGGCTGTTAACATATGAAAATAAAGCGACACGAGCAACACGACACGAATAACGATTACCAATGCACAGTAACATTAAACCAAAATATCCACGGATACGCTAGGGCGTCACTCATGGTATTCGGTAGCGCACAGCCCCAATCAGCACTATAAACAACTTTGTCCCGTCTACATCCATGGCGCGGCACGAGCAATTCCGCCGCGCTTATCCACGCCGCAACACCACCCCTCTCTTTAGCGAAACGGCGTCCCTAAAAACGGAAAGTCATCAAAATACAGCGCGCGCCCGCGAACTGACCTTACGACTGTAGCTGCACCCCTAGGGTGAATGCCTGTCCGGCGCCCTACGCGCCCGCCCGCCGCGACGTGGGGTCACTAACTGCTCGGCAGGAGCAGGACCGGCTCCCCGTGGGGTAGGTGGGACGGGGCAGGGACGCTCTGACCTGGGACGATCTCCGTGAGGAGTCGGGGCGACAGGAACCGGGGCAGGACCACTGGGCTCGGATCCTCCCTGGACCGGGTACTGGCTCACCGGCAGGCCTGGCACCAGCCGTCTGGCGTGCACACGCTCGCCCGTGGAGAGCCGTTAGCTCACCGGGCCGGTCCTCCGACTCACTCGGACGGACCGCTGAGCCTCGACCCGCCCACTCACCGGCTTCCGCACTCTGACCCAATCGCCCTCGCCCCACCGGGGAGCGGCGGTCGCGGTCCGGTCGGGCCTGGCCTTGTAGGCCTTCTGGTAGCGGCGATGGTGCCGTCGGACGGTCGAATCGACAGATGTCGGGTCGTTCGACGGCGCTACGTCGAGAACCGTACGCGCCGCCCACCCCCTCATTAAAAGAAAGGGTGACACTCCAGTCGCCGGGTGTACCGTCGCGCGGTACTCGCTGAGAAACTTCCGGAGGAAGGCAGAGCGCGGCTCCCTCGCCAGCCGCGCGGACTGGACTGCGTCCTTCACTGTGCGGTTCAGCCGCTCAACCATGCCGCATGTATGTGGCGAGTAGGGCGTGCTGAAGGTGTGCTTGACCCCCAGCCGGGTCAAAAACTCACCGAGATCCACGGCTCCGAGGAAGGCGCGGAGGCTCTTCTCGTCCCGGGGCTCGGGCGCGTCCAGCAGAGGCCGGAGCCGCTCCGGGTCGATACGGACACCGTCACCGGAGATCTGGCACCCGAGAAAACCGATCTCTCTCTGGTTGGTGACGCTCTTGCTCCAGTTCACACGAACCCTGTGGGCATCAAAACACTGGAGCACAGCCTTCAGTTGAGCGTCGTGCCCGGCCTGAGAGCGAGCGTGAACCAGGATGTCATCCAGGTACACATCGACTCCTGGGATCCCCTCCAGCATGGAGGCCATCACCTTCTGGAAACAAGGTCCAGCGCTGGCGAGCCTGAAGTTCACCCGGGTAAAGCGGAACAGCCCCAGGTGACTGACGATTTGACGAACGTAGTCAGGTCACGGCTGTCCGGATGAAGCTCCAGCTGGTGATAATTGTCCTTCAGGTCTAGCCTGGAGAACACCTGAGAGCCACTCAGACGGTCAAGTACATTCTCGATCCTGGGGAGAGGGTACCCATCAGTGATGACTGCCTTGTTTACCCGTCTCATATCAACACATAGGCGGATGGACCCATCTTGCTTCCTTCCGACCACCAGGGGTGAGACCCAGGGGGACGCACTCACCTTCTCGATCACCCCCTGGCTCTCGAGCTCCTTCAGTCTGGCACTCACCTCATCAACCACTGCCAGGGGCAGCCGGCGAAGAGGTTGTCGCACAGGTGCCACCTCAGGACTGACGGTGACACGGTGTCCGGGATCCAGCCTGCCATCCTTGGCTAGCCAAGGTAGCCAAGGTAGGGGTTGGTAGCCAAGGATGGCAGGCTGGATCCTGGACAGTGAGGCAGGTGGGTCAGCAGGCTCAGCAGGGTGGCTGGGAGGCTCTGCAGGTTCCGGAGTAGCGTGGGAGGAAGAGGCTGTGGAAACAGCACACACGCGGTTACCTACGATACACACATCGAACGCCTCCATCATGTCCAGGCCCATCAATGCACGCCGCACGGCCATGAGGCACGACATACACAGTGACACTGGCGGTTTTCCCCTTACATGATACACATACACTTTTAACCCCTAAAACATCAAATACACTCCCCCATAGGCACACAGACGCTGATCAGTTGCTGTCAGGTCCCCTCCCTCCACACTCCTGGGAAGGATCGACACAGGCGACCCTGAGTCGACGGTGAAGGTCACCTCCTGTCCCTCCACCTGAGCATCAACCGTCAAAGGTGAGACACTGACAGCGAGCACTTGAACACTGGACACTACACGAGTGGCACCACAGTGCAGGGCAAAGTGGTGCAGCTTCCCACACTTGGAACAGGTCCTGTTGTAGGCGGGGCACGACTGGTCGCCTCTGCGGTGTCCCGCACGCCCACACTCCCAACACCGGCTGGAACCCGCAGCCTGGTGTGGCTGCTGCTGCTGGCGCTGATGCTGAGGTGAAGGCTGCTGGCGTCCTGGTGGAGGCTGCTGGCGTTGCTGCGGGGCAGGGGCCCCACCCGAGCGGCGGCTCCTGACCCCACCACACTGAGGCCGCTGCTGCTGCAGGGCCTGCACCGGGACCGGTGCAGCAGGAGCCTCCATCACCCGTGCCTCCCGCTCTGCAGACTCGAGGGTGTCTGCAATCGTCAGAGTCTTTTCCAGGGACAGCTCAGACCCCTCTATAGGCAGTCTCTGTCGTAACTTAGGTGAGATCGTCTTTTCAATCACCTGGTCCCTTATGAACTCGTCAGTGTGGGTCCCGTTCTCACAGGTACTGGCCAGCTGGCGCAGTACGGAGACCCTCTGGACCGTGGTCTCTCCCTGGTGCTGGGCGCGGCTACGGAAACGGTAGCATTCGACGCACACGTTCTGCCTGGGGGCAAAGTGCCCCTCCAGACGACGACGGGTGAAAGCGAAGTCGTCCTCCCCCTCCTCCTTAACGCAGTGCGACAGGGACTCGTAGACCCGCTGGCCCTCCGCTCCAAGGCACGTCAGGAGCACTGCCTGGCGGCGTGCCGGGGCGAACGCATCCCCTCCAACGGCACACAAAAAAATGCTCAAACATACGGACCCAGCGAGGCCACGGAACCGCCGGCTCAGCGCCGGCTATCGGCAGAAGCGGAGGCCGTGAAATCCATCGCGCCACACGACTATGACGCGGAAAAACTCACGGTTCGAATACTCGTCGCCACTTGTTGTGTCTCCTCGTGTGTGACGCACCGGACACTCGGGAAGACTCCCACACTGAGTGTATTTGCGACAAAATATGAAAATAAAGCGACACGAGCAACACGACACGAATAACCATTACCAATGCACAGTAACATTAAACCAAAATACCCACGGATACGCTAGGGCGTCACTCATGGTATTCGGTAGCGCACAGTCCCAATCAGCACTATAAACAACTTTGTCCCGTCTACATCCATGGCGTGGCACGAGCAATTCCGCCGCGCTTATCCACGCCGCAACAATCTTGAATATTACACAGCAGCTGAACATACTCCAGGTCTAGATTTTGACCGGATGTTTGACGCCAGCGACGGCCGGCACGTTCGAGCTGCTGGCAGCCCACACATGGCAGATTTGACGGCTCAACAGATATCGCAGCTCGAACAGCTTCCCATCCGACCAGAGCCCTGATCGACGGCTAGCTAGCGCGCTAGCCCGCGCTCACATGCGTGCACGTTACCCCGGCAACGGGCTATTGACCAATGAGAAGCGAGAAAAGTGTTACGTCACTGCGATTTTTCATATATCTGTGCCCCCGGACGTGACGTAGTGTGCTCGCGCGCGTGCAGGGTCTCTGCGATCAAAAAAGAGCGCTAGCAGCGCGCCACTCGACGCCGCATTTGTCAAAAGCGGCGTGTTAGCATGCTTTATTATGATTGATGTGTGTAAAAGTGAGTTTTTAGGTTGTTAATATGGGGGAAATGGCTGGAATAAAATAAGTTATTTTTATTTCTGTCAGTTGGAAATTTTGTTCAAAAATATTAGGTCTACAGCATTTATACTTATTGAAGATACTTTCGTTTGAATAAATTGCAGACATTTGGCAACTGAAGTGTTCAGTAAGCCTAAATGATTGGTATAAAGGTAAGAGACACCCTAGGCGGTGTTTCACGGCAGAGTGCTGCGCGCGTCGGTGCGTTGGGTTTCCATGGCAATATCAACAAACTCCACTCTGACGCTTCGCTATGACGTCATCATATTTTTTTCGTTTGAATAAATTGCTTCGGCTCTATGATATAGGTATTACTTTAGCTCATGACCCCAATATTCTAAATAGAATAGAAATGATACGTTGGCAACTTGAAGGCTGAATTGTGTTTTTAGTATTAGGACCTCATGGGGCTGAATCACAAGAGAATAACTGGCCTGCGCCATAATCGTTGCAATAGCGCAGTGATAGCTAATGTGTATCCCGCCATATTAAAGTTTTCCATTTATCAGAGGAAGGAAATACAATTTTCAAGATAGCATTTGATAGTTTATGGTTTGCAAAAGTTGATTTCATTTGGACTTTATTGACATGCCTTTTTCTGATATATTTTATTTCAATGGAAAATAATTTTCATCTTGAAGAAATTTGCCTTTTTACCCTTGCAAAAAGGCATTGTTTCGGAGGATCCCGAAACCGGGTGTCGTGTGAAATGTCACGCGATGTTAATTTTGTAGAAAAGGTTGTTGAACTCAGTTTGAAAAGGAGAACAAGTGGACTTTGAGAGTGCTTGAATGTTTTTTTTTTTTTGGAAAGTGCAGTGAATAAACTGTGAATTTGACACTGCAGCTTCAATCATCGATACTGAGAACGATATTAATGAATAAAGAATTTGTTAAGATCAGTAACGTAAAGAATGTGCTTATCATATTAAAGAATCGATCTGATCAAAGAACGTAACATACTGTCAAACCATTGACTTTGCTTGGATCGGTAACGTAGAGATGGCACATAAAGAATCTGGTCTTTTCAAATATTAACTGAAACATTAGGCACAATGAAGTTAACATAAATACACAACGCGACGATTAGAACTCCAGAACATTGGTGCTAGTGACCCGAGATGGAACCCGGTAAACTGAAGAGAATAAGAAATGGACACAGGACTCAGGCGCAACGCCTGATAGGTGAACTCGAAGACCTACTCAGTGTAGATACATCGGATCCAAAACAACTGGAACTGAAATGTTTGGGGCTGACAAAACAGGAAGAAAAGATAAAGAAGCTTGATGAAGAAATAGAAGAAGCAATGGATGAAGAAGGTGTTGAAGACGAGATCAATGATGCTGTTTCCTTCAGCAGCAAAATGGATGAAGCTCTCTATCTTGCTCAACAGAAACTTCAGGAGATAAAAGAAACTGAAGTTCATGCAATTCAGACTCTTGAACGTCATGCGGATCATCACGCCAAAACGGGAAGACTCCCAAAGCTGGAGCTCCCTTTTTTTCGATGGCGAACCAAGGAGATGGTACGAATTCTGGGACATTTTCAATGCGGCGATTCACACAAGATCTGACCTGGCAGAAGTCGAGAAACTCCAGTATCTAAAGGGCCAGCTGAAGGGTGCCGCACTGAAACTGATAGATGGATTTCGGCTGACCGCTTCGAACTATGAGACGGTGGTTGAAATGTTGCAAGATGCATTTGGTGACAGAGACGCAATAATCGACGCTCACATCATCGAACTGGTGGAGCTGAAGACTCCTTACAACAGCGGCGTGCAGGCGATTGAAGACTTCCGGACCGAAATGGAGAGTCACCTTCGTGAGTTGGAGGCGCTAGGGATCAACATGGACAAGTACGGGAGACTTCTCTCGCCGCTGCTGATGAAGAAGCTGCCGTCTAAGTGGAAAGAGAACATAATTAGAAACACCGGGAGTCGACATCCAAAACTCGATGAGCTCAGAACGTCACTTGGAGCTGAAATGCTGACCATGAAGGCAACTGAAATCGATCAAGCTGGAGATAGGGTTAAGACATCCGGACAACCTCAAGTGAAGAATGGTACATGGAAAAAGAAGACGCTCGTCAGCCAGACGGACCATCGGGCTAACAAGTGCAGACTCTGGCAGTGATCATCTCCTGGAAAGCTGCTCAGATTTTAAGAACATGAACCAGATGGAAAGAATAAACGCGTGTAGGATCATGGGAAGCTGCTTCCGATGTCTCCGTAGTGGGCATCTTGCGGCAGCTTGCAGGTCATTTAAAGGCTGCAGAGTGAACGGATGCAGGGGAAAACACCATGTTCTTCTCCACCAAGAACAATCTTATGGAGAAACAAAAGAATTCAACCCCACAGGGACTACAGGTGCGTCCAGCGCAAAACAAAGTGAACAGGAAAGCCGCCGCTTACCAAAGCAGAACGGCGGCGCCGAACCGCTTGCGGAAGCGGAAAGATTGAACCGAGCGCTGACCACCTCAGCTGGGAACGAATCAGCCAAGACAAAGACCGTGGTTTTTCAAACCATTCCAGTGTACGCTGAAACTGGGCAAACAAGACTAAAGCTGAACGCCCTTCTGGATCCCTGTTCAGACTCATCTTACATCTCACAGGAAGCTGCAGAAGAATTGGGAATGGAAGGGACGCCGTGGACATTCGAACTCACAACGGTGAAGGGTACCGAAGCTGTAGAAATGAAAAGAGCTCCAGTCAAGATTATAAGCACTGAAAGCAGCCAGAAAACACTTGAGCTAAACGCCTTCGTGACAAAAGATCTCATTGGATCATCAAAGGCCTTCGATTGGGGACAAGTACAGAAACGGTGGCCTCATCTCAAGGAAGTTCCCTTTCCAGTCATCGGGAAGAGGAAGAAGGTGGACATTCTGATCGGCTTGGAAGCCAGCACGATGTGCCTTTTCGTGGCAGAGGAGCAAGTGGCTGGAGACCTCAGCGAACCAGTGGCACTAAAGACACCGTTCGGATGGACAGCATTTGGACCTGTGGAAGCAGAGCTTGTTCCCAGTGAGAAGAATGTGGAAACGAGAAACGGAATGACCAGCTTCGTCAAGACCCTGCGGA